ATTTTGCTTACTATCCAGGATCTAGACTTTTTTACTGTAGCATAGTAGAGACTAACGTTTTGACAGAGCTATACAGCAGTTAGAGACAGATTCTGCTTGTATTATTTTTACAAACCTGTAACTAGTAATATGAGAGAGACATTACCAAAAGCTTTCCAACATAGACATTTCTCTCAGCTTTGTCAAAGAACAGTGAACAACAGACTTGTAAGACTGTTGTTGAAGTTATATAGAGATAATTCAGAATAATAAAGCAACATCAGTAATACAGAAAACATGTAACTCATCATGCTTCCTTCTTTCTACTAAGATTTCACTCATGCAAGAATCTAAAGAACCTATAGAATTCACAGAAACAATCCGGCCTGCTGATGAGCTTGATGTTCAGGAAGAGGTATGGACTTCTAGATCTGAATGTATCTGTTATCTATAGAATACTGCTGGTTTTATTCCTTTATAGCACTAGCCATGCTGTTAGGCCTGTAGAACCAAACCCTCAATGCTCTCCTTCTTCATAAATAAATACCCACCCTGGCCACCTGGATGTCAGTGCTTAGTGGAGGAATTCAAGTTGTTGGCTTTTTTCTTTTTTTGAGATGTAGCAGATTATAGTTTACAATAGTGTGCAGCACCTCCCGATCTCTGTCACTTCAGGACTACCTCTAGGACTGCATAGGACTTACAAAGGCTTCAGGCATCCAAGCCCAAAATAACAGGCAGCCTCCCCCATTCATTTCTTCTAGAACACAATGGACATCTTCTTCCATAAATTAAGCGTTTTACAGGAAGCTGTAGTTGCACAGGACCGGATGTCTTCAAACCTGCATCTTCCCGAATTGTCTAATGCAGACACAAGTCAAAGGGCAGTTGCTTCAAACAGGCCTTTCACAGTTACCCTCAGTGAGGCTGCATTGAACATAGTCCCCATGGAGTTAACATACACACAAACTTTTTATTTTTCAAAGTGGTGCATGCTCAGAACTAACTGTTTCTCTCCACCCTCTCAATGTTTCACTAGGCTATGCGCAGACTTGCATCATGAAGATGGACTGCTGACCGTCTCACTGCAATATTTATGCACCAGTACTATTCAAGCATTTTCTGCAATGAAACCAATCTTGGCACTTGAAGAAAACAATGATTCTTTGTCTGAATGATACAGATCTCTAGAATTCTCCAAATTTTAGTTAATACTATCTCTGAAGTATTCTGGACCTTGATTCAGCAAGCACTTTCCATATGACACATTGGAAAAAAAAAATCAGAAGACTGTTATGAAACGTATTCAGTTCTGGGGCTAGTCAGGCACAAGGTGCATTGCGTTGTTATGTCAGTGTGCACAGGAAGAAAAGCTGCTTTGTGCTCCGCCCTCGGAAGTTGAAGAGAAGTTGAAGATCTTTGGATCACAGGCCTTTTGCTATGTATTTGCACAACGTGTAGTGAGAGGGTGAGAGTTCTAGCCGGCCAAGGTTTGGCCATTCTAGAAAATTTGTGCATTTGAAAAGCATACCTGGATTGTTCTTTCCAGGCAGTTCCTTAAATTGCTACAGGGTGATGGATAGCTGAAATGGGTGACAGCCACATGAACAGGAAACTGCACTGAACCACAAAAAAAAACTTTGAATACAGTAACCTTCGTTAGCAAATATGTTTGGATATGGGTTCATTAGCTCTGTATTAAGCCCACTGTAGCAAATCATGCACCACTATTAATGATTTTCTCTAAAATGAACTATATACAGCAGATGATTTTGGCTATATATCTTCCATCAAGAGGTAGATTGGGACCCAGACTGAATCAATGAAAACCTTAGTTCTCAAGTACTTAATGGGTTACTTAATGGATGCTACTGAATGCAAGTAAGAGAGTCAAAATGTCACCTAGTATAAAGGTTTTTAACTATGAAATATAGAAATTTAAGTAGTTTAATGAATGATTCTATTTTTATATAGCATATTTTTTTCTTTTAATATTCTGCATCAAACTGCTGCTGTTCTTTTGCAGGACATGTATAGACATTTAACAGTCCATAATGCACAAGTGCAATAATTTACAGAAGATAAGGGAGTTGAACTTTAATCCTTATTTTAGAACTATATAAAATAGATATGCAGTAAATCAGTGATCTTAATTTCATGAAGAAACATTTGTTTGATGGAAAACGGACTGCTACCTTAATATTTTAGCACTATATTATTTTTTAATGGAAAAACAAACACAAAAAAAAACCAACAAATCTTTGCACAATGAGGGAATATATAATAGCAGAAGTATAAGAAATGTCCAGGTATAATGTCCCCTCAGTATTTAAGCTTCCCAGTTCTTGGCATTTACGTTGATGTTTGTTAAGTTCCTTTTTTGATAACATCAGAGAATTTTTCCGATATCATACTGCACTGAGAAAATTTTTGCTGCAAGTAAAGTTAGTGGAAAATCTCAGGTGAAAAGCTAAGCACTAAGTACGTTATTCTGCCCTACAGACCTGAGTGAACTCCATTAAGATCTTTTAAAAAAACCTACAAATTTCAGTCAATTGGACAAGATCCTCACATAGTGGGTAGAGGCATCAAACTGACATCTTTATTCCCTAATAAATGCAAAAAACTTCAGTTCTAATGACAATCGGTGTCATTTTTCATTTCAAATGCAATGGGGGTTTGATCCTCAAAGGTGCTGCTGTTACAGACCAAACCAGTGAAAACATGCCTTTTTATTTACTGTTAGGCAAATGCCCTTTGTGTGCCAGACTGGCATCTCCATGAGCTGAAACTAGGCACATGCTTAGGAGCCAAGCCAGACTGACCTGCACCTCCTGAGAGGGAAGTCTTGCTTCATATTTACATTAATGCCGAGGCTCAGGCTGGGACTTGACAGTATGTGCTCTTAGCACTACCCATCTTCAGTCTTCCCCCTTCCCAGGCAGAGTAACTAAGGAGTTTGGCAACATCACTGACAAAGCTTCTGTCAGGCCACGGCCCCAGTCTGTATTAACCTGAATATAAAGCACAATTGCCAGTGTGTGCAGCAGGACAAGGCCAGTAGCATTTCTCAGAGGCTGTATTGCTTTTCTGAAGCCCTGTATTGCTTTTCTAAAGCTGTACTGCTTTTCTTTAGCCCTGCAGAGAAGGACCTGGGGGTCCTGGTGGATGAAAAGCTTAAAATGAGCCAGCAGTGTGTTCCTGCAGCTCAGAAGGCAAATGGTATCCTGGGCTCCATCAAAAGAGGGGTGGCCAGCAGGGACAGGGAGGTGATTGTCCCTCTCTACTCTGCTCTTGGGAGGCCCCATCTGGAATACTGTGTCTAGGGTCCCCAGTACAAGAAAGACAGGGGCTGTTGGAGGGGGTCCAGAGGAGGGGCCACAAAGATGATCAGAGGGCTGCAGCACCTCACATACAAAGGCAGACTGAGGGAGCTGGGCTTGTTCAGCCTGGAGAAGAGAAGGCTGCAGGGTGACCTCATTGCAGTCTTTCAGTACCTAAAGAGAGCCCATAAACAGGAGGGGAATCAACTGTTTGAAAGGGTAGATAACAGCAGGACAAGGGAAAATGGATTTAAGTTGAGGGAGGGAAGATTTAGGTTGGATGTCAGGAGGAAGTTCTTTACAGAGAGAGTGGTGAGGTGCTGGAACAGGCTGCCCAGGGAGGTTGTGGGTGCCCTGACCCTGGAGACGTTCAAGGCCAGGTTGGATGGGGCCCAGGACAGCCTGGTCTAGTATTAAATGTGGAGGTTGGCGGCCCAGCATGCGGGGGGTTGGAGATTCATGATCCTTCCAACCCAAGCCATTCTGTGATTCTATTGTACTCTCATTCCTGGACTGTGTATTTCTTCAAGGTATAGTAGCGTTCTCAGTTTATCTGGTACAAAGTATTTGACCTGTCCTGAACATTAGTGTTCCACACAAGGCCTGCATTTACACAGAGCACTAAGACACGTGCAGAGGGCATTCAGACACCTCTGTCAGAGGGATAGGGACTGCGTGCTTCCTTGTGCTGTGTGTGCATCCATCTGGTGAAGGATACCCAAACAATCAAAGCTGAAATTCTATACAACTTTGTACTAATTCATACAACACTAAGTAATGCAACTAGATATGGTGTTGTTTTTTTTTCCCCAGTAGAATGATGAGGTGACATTTTGAGTATTACTATAGCCTTTACATATCAGGTACTAAATTTGGAGATACATTTTATTACCGTTTTACAAAGCTGTGAATTGAATGCAATTGTATCCACTGACTAGAAAATAAAATTGTGCATATTGGAAAAACACTATATGCATCTGCATTTTTTTACTCTTTGTGAATTCGTTACCACGTGGAAATAAGGCGCACTGTGCAGGGATGAGCGGCACTCTTCCCTTGAGTATGCCAAGCAGCAAACAGAGGGAAAGCCACATATCCCTTTCCCTGCAACGCCCGGACTTAAGACAAGCAACAACAGGCTTAAATTGCAGCTTAGTCACGATAAATGTGTCTGCAGGGACGCAGCATCCCGGCGCCGAGCACCGCCCAGAGCAGGGTGCGCAGGGCTACGGCCAGGCGGCTTATGGAGATCTCCAGGGAGGAGACCCGCAGCCTCGGGACAGCTGTGTCCGCGCTCAGCCACCCGCACCTCACGGAAGGGCTTCCCGCCGAGACGGTACGGGCGGCAGGGACGGCAGGACAAGCACCACCCACTTCAAACGCCGCCGCCGCCGCCGCCGCCATATTGGACGATCCCGCTCTCCGCAGCGCGCATGCGCGGGGCGGGCGGCGCTACACCCCCCACAGGGGCCGCGGTCCGCCCGCAGCCATCCCGGCAGCCACCGCGGCACGGCCGCCGCCGTCGCCGCCGCCGTCGCCGCCGCCTTCTTTTCCCGGCCCGCGGAGGCCGCCGGGAGCCGGCAGTCTCGCGCTGCTGTGCGGCGGAGCGGCGGCAGCACTGCGCTGCCTGTAGGCTCCGCCATGCCCTCACTGCCCTGCCGGCGCGGGGCCGCGGTGCCATCGGCGATTCTCCGCCGCGCCCTTTTTCGCGCTCTCCCCGCCCGTCCCGCCGTGCCTTCCGCTTCCGGCCGCGCCCTTCCTCTCCCACAGCGCCCCGCGCCGCGCCATGGACCACAATGGTGAGGAGGGGAGAGGCGGGGGGCCGTTGGGCCGCTGCGCCGCCCGGGGAGCGGCTGAGCGCGGGGGGTGGCGGCGCGGGGCCGAGAGGGCGGCTCGGCCTCGTCCTCGGGAGTGCGGCGGGACCCGGCGGGGCCCCGGGCTTGGACGCGGGGCCTGAGCCGTGCCCCGAGCGCGGAACTCGCGGTCCCCTCCCCCAGCCGGCTGCTCCGCGCTCCGTTGGGCTGCGGCGCTGGGGGATATGCAGGGCACGCGCCGCTTTCTGTTACCGGTGTGCTTGTTTTTCCCTTAGGAAAGTTTGCGTTATAAATGCATCAGGGTTCGTTTTTGTGCTCTGCTTGTGGACTGTAATAAATCCTAAAATACCGAACTAAAAAGAGAATCTCCAAAAGGTGATCACCTAGAAGAGCGCATCGCTTCTGGTTCTGTCTTCTCCAAGTCAACAGATTGGGATACATCTGTTGTGCTTCTTTAGGGGCGTGACCCAGCTGGGTGTGCATCCACGGACTAGAGCGTGTCATCCTTCCGGAAACAGGCAGGAGCAAATAGGAGCAAATCCTGCCCGCCGCGTTTGGCATCGGGGCTGTGAGCATTGGCTGGGCAGGGTCAGAACTGAACTGCTCCTGCTGGGCAGCAATGGAGCAGGCGGCCTGCTGAGTTCTGGCTTCCTGTTTGGTGTGCTTATCTGTGCTTGAAATGGACCGAGGTCTGTAGGACTTCTTTGGCATGTAGTGTAGTGTCTTTTGGGGTATTCCTGTTTAAAAATAAATAAATAGAAACTCAGAAGTTTTCCACAGGTGTAGAAGACAGAGTTGGTGTTGCTGCCTCTGATGTTGTGCTCTGTTGGTGCCTGTGCTGTGTGCTGTTTGCAGTGCCGCCCAGGGAGCGATGGGAGGAAAGCAGGTGTTGTCTCATTCATGGATCATGATATATGGGCACTCATGATACTGAAGCAAAGTGACTGTGGAGTGTGTGGACTGTGGAGACTGATTTGAAACTTGGTTGCAGTTTCTAGCAAGCCCCCCATTTCCTTTGTTTTCTTGTTTTCCCTTCAAGTGGTGTTGCAAAGGGAAGCTGTGAGCTCTGAGGCATGGAGTTTATGCCAGGCATTGTGCACAGTACCCTAATGGGGCCCTGTCTCAGTGCCTGCGTACTGTAGAGCTGTCACCAAGTTCTGTGTCAGTTTTCTTTCAGAATGGAATTTGCCTTCTGGGTGACTTATGGTCTTTTGTGTGTGTCCATCTCCTTTCTATAGGAATATAGACTTAAAGGTGTCTCAGTATGGGTCTAATCATGGGTTTTAATAGAAGTCTGAGTCTTTGTTGCAAAGGGCTGACTGAAAGTGCCATTTTGTCAGTGCATGTTCCTATTAAAATGGAAGTGAGCTAGGCTGGTTTTGAAGGATGTGATTTTATTTTTCTATAAATGAGATACTGTGGTAGGTTGAGGCTGACTTGCTGAAAGCTGGGGAAATCGGGGTGTGCATCAATCCTTGGCAGCACTTTTCCTTCCAGGTTGTCTCTCAGTGCCTGTGTTAGGCATGTCCTTGCTTCTTTTGGTGCCAGACTTAAACCTGGACAAAAGAGCCCTGTAGAAAGGAATGGTAATCTTTAGTTTGGCAAGGATGCTGTGTACTCTAAGCACCAATATTTTTGCAATGCTTTATGCTGAACTTGTAAGTGATATGTAAGGTTGCTAAGAGTGGAATGGGCTGCCCAGAGAGGTTGTGGATGCCCCGTCCCTCCAGGTGTTCAAGGCCCAGTTGGATGGGGCCCTGGGCAGCCTGGTCTAGTATTAAATGGGGAGGTTGGTGGCCCTGCCTGAAGCAAGGGGATTGGAGCTTCATGATGCTTGAGCTCCCTTCCAATCTGGACCATTCTGTGATTCTAAGAGTACAGATGGAAACTTAATTTCCTTTTAATTTGTTTAAAAATGAATTTATGTAAATTGTGAAAATATTTTCTCAGCGGGAGTTCTGTGTTTTCATGGTCATAGAAAGAGCCGACTCCTCAGTACTGTTTGTGCTGCAGTAGGGGCTGTGCAGTTAATGTTTTTTCCTGCTATGGAAAAGTGGCAGACTAGCTTTATTTGTCTGTCTTTAAGATAACTTTAGCATCTTCAGAAACTATTTCATAACTAAGAAATGACAGAATTTCTTTTTCTTCCATAGACAATGATTTGCAAGGAACAAATAGTTCAGCGTCATTGGGTGGTCTTGATGTTCGCAGAAGAATCCCAATAAAGCTGATCTCAAAGCAGACCAATAAAACCAAACCTGCACCTCGGGCTCCCAGAGCTATGAACAGGATGCCTGCAAAGACACAAGCTGGGGATGAAGGTAAATTGCTATAAGCAACTCACCCTGCAGTGAGGCAGCGTATTCTGCAGCACTGTTGAAGGCTTTGGTCAGTGTTGGAATCCAGGATTCTTTACAGCTGCACAGCCTGTTTCAGTCTTCCAGGTTCTGCTGCTCTATGAGGAGTAAAAGATGCCAATTCCCCAAGTAAATTCACACTATTTTGGTTATACCTTTCTGCAGAATGGCCCAGCAGACTGGGAGTGTTGCAGCCTGCCCTGGTTATTTCGATGTTCACCGGTGCATGCACTTAATAGCAGCCGGCGTCAGTTAGGGAAGTGGCGTTGCCTTGTATCTGTCTTCTCTTTCCTCTTTCCACAGAAGAATTTGATTTCAATGAAGAGGAGCGATACGAATGCAAAGGAGGTGAAATGTTTGGAAATCAAAGGAGATTCCCCGGACCCATATTTTGGGACTATAAGGTAAAATCAAGGACAGGAAATGGTGGAACTTTGTGAATAGTACCAAACTGAAGGTTATTTTAAGAAGTATCCACTAGGATGAAATCGCTTGCGTTACTTTTTGGTGTACCAAAAATACATTTTCATGTTTGTGGTGGTCTTGCTTCAGTCTGATAATTCAGGAAGGGTGGGTTGGTGATGACTGCAGTGAGAAGCTTTAGTGATGTTTCTCTTTTTCCCACCCCTTTCTCTGTTCTTGTAGATAAACTTGCTGGGGGAGAAGGATGATACGCCCGTCCATTTCTGCGATAAGTGTGGGTTGCCCATCAAAATGTATGGGCGCATGGTGAGTGGGCTCTTCGGAAGAGGCAGCCACGGTGTCCCTTTATGTAACAGGTGTTACGTGTCTCTGTGGGGCCTCCAGAGGGTGGTGATTCTAGCAAACCTCTGAGTAAACAGCAGAACAATGTTGAGATGGAACCAGGGCCTTATCAGGGGACCTGATCCAGGTTTATAAATATCTGAGGTGTGGGGGCCATTGCGGTGAGGCCAGTCTCTTTTCAGTGGTGAGTGGAGACAGGACAAGGGGAAACGGCCGGAAACTGCAGCATAGGAAGTTCCACACAAATGTGTGCAAGAACTTCTTTACAGTGAGGTGACGGAGCACTGGAACAGGCTGCCCAGGGAGGTGGTGGAGTCTCCTTCTCTGGAGATGTTCAAGACCTGCCTGGATGCCGACCTGTGCGACCTGGTGTAGGGAACCTGCTTTGGCAGGGGGGTTGGACTCGATGATCTCTGGAGGTCCCTTCCAACCCCTACAATTCTGTGATTAACTGCTGGACTGGGTTGTTCTGCCTGACTCGCTGAGTTTGCTTTGCCTTTTGATTTAATAAAGTAAGCTTGGAAGTGCTGAAATCAAAAGCTTTAAAACAAATGCAATCACTTTCCGCTCCCCCAAAATGCCAACAGAAGTCTTGCAAGTTTAGATTTAATAATACTCTTTATGTCAATGGACAATTTGTAGTGAAGTTAGTAAGCACTGTTCTTGTGTCTTTTCAAAAACTAGCGTCACAAAATCCCTGAGATGAACTTAGTTATCTGAGTGTGATATAACAGACGTGGGGATCTGACTTGATGACTCTTAATGCTTTTAAAACATTCCCTTTTTGCAGACAAGTGCAATTAGATTGCATATGCAGCATCCCTAAAGGTTCGGTGTTTGTATTACGGCAGAATTAAAATGTTTGCCAGCTCTTTAAAAGACAAAACAAATTCCACAAACCAGCCACGCATGCACCAAACCCCGTCAAAGAGAAAACTAAACCCTTGCCTTCCTGACAACACAGACTGGTTTTGAAAGTTTCTGTTTCAAAGGTGCTGTAAACAGCTAGCAACATTCTTATGTAAGTTCTTCATACATAACTTCAGTACTTCTTAGAAATTGTTTGCTGGGTGAAGGCATTGTATGGTGCAAAATGACACGTTGTCTAACAGAGCCATTTGTTTTTTTTTTCTAGATACCTTGCAAGCATGTTTTCTGCTATGACTGTGCTATACTACATGAGAAGAAGGGAGACAAGATGTGTCCTGGGTAAGTTCTCTTTAGGTTTTTACTAAGGGAAATGGAAGAACACTTTAAAAACTTATTTCAGATACTGTTATTAGCATGCTTCTGTGTACGTTTTGTAGAGTTAGCAGAGTGCTCCTTCGTCCACCACTCAATTACAGCTTAATATCCCACAGTTAACAAATGCTAAGAGATTGGCGTTTACCTCATTGTTTAAGTGTTTGTGTAGATAACCTGTAATTGCTACAATTTGAAGAGTACCAAAGCATAAGAGGAATTTGATAGAAGGTGGTGCCATGTCTAAGTTTCCACCCTATGAAATTCTGATGTTACTCTGTTGTTGTATTTGGAGCCTTAGATGTTTGCTTAACTTCAAAATCAACCAGATGTGTTCTGTTGCTCTAGCATGCGGGGAAAATGTTCATTCTAATTTTGATAATTATTAAAAAATAGTCAAAAACAACAGTGGGGGGGAAAAAGCCCTGCAGAACTCACTCTATATGATGGCAATGAACCAATGTTCTCTTCTAATTTAGCTGTAACGAACCTGTCCAGCGCATCGAGCAGTGTGTGCGAGGGTCTCTCTTCATGTGCAGTATAGTCCAAGGGTGCAAGAGAACTTACCTGTCACAGAGAGACTTACAGGCTCACATCAACCACCGCCATATGAGAGCTGGAAAGCCTGTGACTCGTCCTCCTCTTGAACCCGTGCATCCTCCCATTGCCCCTCCGCCTGCTGAGATCCCAGAGCGTTTCATAATGCCTCCAGAGAAACACCACATGAGCCACATTCCGCCGAAGCAGCACATCATGATGCCGCCGCCTCCCTTACAGCACGTGCCGCACGAGCATTACAACCAGCCGCACGAAGACATCCGCCCGCCTCCTGCCGAGATGTCCATGGCTCCGCCGCCGCCTCGCCCGGTCAGTCAGGACACCTTCCGCATCTCTACGAGAAAACACAGCAATTTGATAACCGTCCCTATTCAGGATGATTCGAATTCGGGTGCTCGAGAGCCACCTCCGCCCGCCCCGGCACCTGCTCATCATCACCCCGAGTATCAGGGCCAACCAGTGGTAACGCACCCGCACCACATTATGCCTCCGCAGCAACATTATGCGCCGCCCCCCCCTCCGCCTCCTCCAATAAGCCATCCTCTGCAGCATCCTCCCCAGGCGGCAGGCACACCTCACATGGTGTATAGCCAAGCTCCTCCGCCGCCAATGACCTCTGCTCCTCCTCCGATAACCCCGCCGCCTGGACATATCATTGCCCAGATGCCGCCGTATATGAATCATCCTCCTCCGGGACCTCCCCCCCCTCAGCACGGAGGCCCTCCCGTAAATGTCAGTGCCCCCCCTCCCCATCACTATAACCCTAACTCTTTGCCACAGTTCAGTGAAGATCAAGGAACTCTTAGTCCCCCTTTCACGCAGCCAGGGGGCATGAGTCCAGGGATTTGGCCGGCTCCCAGAGGGCCACCTCCACCTCCGAGGATGCAGGGGCCTCCTGCTCAGGCCCCTCTTGCTGGACCGCACCACCCTGATCAAGCCAGATACAGACCCTATTACCAGTGATCTCAGCAATTGTACAAATAGAGAGCGCTATGAAGAGGATAAAACTATATACAGCAGCCTTTTAACTAATTGTATGGGGGTTGTTTTGTTTTTTTTTTAAATACTGTCATTTTGACTGTAAGACATTTTGGGGTTTGAATCTTTAATGATTTTTAAGCCTTGGCTGTAGGACTCTGACTTCAAATATTCTGTAGTGCTAAAATAAGTGGCTTAGTAGACCACAGTTGCATTTTAACTGAACTTCTGTCTATAGTGTGGCTAATTGTCCTAAGATGAACACTTGTAATATCACTTTCTGGAGAAAATGAACATGTGTTGTACCATTCTGAATATTGTTTTTGTTTAAATCCAATGTTTAGTTTTCACTTGTGATACATTTTTGTTAACCTGTGTACAATAATTAAATTGAACTATGGTTGTAAAAGTGGTGGGCTTTTATGTGAAGTTAACACAGACACGGTTCCTGGACACTGTTTTGGCTCTAGAATTTCCCACATGGGAAGCATAATGAAATAGTTAGGAAACTTAATTTTTTTTTACTAACATATGCTGCTACTTGTAATGAATTCAGGCTATGGTGCATTTGTGGCACTGGTAAGCAGGCATGTGAATGCTGCATTTCAGGTGGTGGGGATTTTTTCTTAGTTGTTTTTAAAATCCATATCAAAAGCAAGATAAATTTATCGGAAATCCAGACACATTATAATGTGGATATAGGGTGGTTCTGTTTGTATTTGGGTGGTTTTTTTGTTGTTGTTATTTTTCCAGGCTAGATTTGTTTCAGAAAATTTTGTTCACAGATACTCCTCACTGGTGTTGAATTCAGACCATTCTGTTTCCCTGTGATTCTGTTCGCATGAAAGTAGCCAAGAATGGGCTTGCTAGATCTGTGAGGAGAAGCAGCTTAGTTCTGGTGAAGTGGCGTTAACCTCAGTCACTTCATGCAGCATGTGTAGTAGGAACACTTTCCATTTGAATGCAGGAAATAAAGGGCCCGGAATCCCTTAAATAGATACAAGAAAATAACAATAAAAGCTACACATCCTTGATCTATTTCCGTTTTGTGATACAGGCTGAATTGGACAGTCAACAGGTGGTTTGGCTTAAAGATTGCAGTGTATGCAGACTCTCAGGGCTGTTTTGGCCCCAAATTTGGTTTTTACAAGCACACTTGCGTATTATAACTATGAGATGTGAATGTTCTCTGTCATTGCAGTTGGGATCTGAACCCAACTGATAAAAAGTGTGGCCTGTTTGAAATGCTTATCTGCATTTCCAATCAATGTTGTGCTGACCCTGTGGGTTAGTTCCGCTTTGTCTTGGATTGGTTTGATTTTGTCTTTGTTTTTCTTCCAAATGCCACATTTCTAACAGCGGTGCTTCTAGATGATGAAATCCAGTGTTTTGTTTTTGTTTGTTTTTCTACAGTTTGTCATTTCCTGCGTTTCTCAAATAAGATGAACCATCTTCAAAGCCTGAATCTTGTGATTTATTTGGTAAAACTTTCTTCAAAGTTTTCTTTTATCAAAGGGCTCTGGCAATACAACATCCATAATTCTGTAGTTTTGTGTGTAAAGTGTGTATTTTTAATTACATGAGCGAATGTTCTTTAGATTTGTTCTGTTTGTGACTGCCATAGGTTTCCTTGTGTCCACAGGCAAATCTTTTGGACTACCCTTCAAAGAAATACAGCAGCATAACACAGCTTTAGGGATGTGCAAGTAAATTCTGGGGTGTGCAGATGGCAGTGAGTGTCATTCAACACAAATTTAACAAAAAATCATAAAGCCATGACACAGACTTTTAACTTTGAGAAATAAGTTGTTTTAAATAAGCAAAGAAAAGGCTGGTTTTGGCGGTGTCCTACAGGATGCAGCCGGATGAAAACTGTATGCTTTAGTGTGTATGAAGGGGAAAATGGCTGCTTATTTTGTTTCAGTAGCTCATAAAAAGCAGGAGGAATGTTTCAGCACTCTTGAAATGAACGGCATTGTGTGTTTTTGCTAGATACTACGTTGTCTTGTGCAACAGATGGAGGTTTCCTCCCTGGGTCCAAGCTCTTCTATGAAAATACTGATGTAGTTCAGATGTGAAGGAGAACAGCTGCCCTTACTCCATCAGAAAGCACAAAAGGTAAGTGTATACCACTGCAGAAGATGTGTGAGAATTTTGGGGTTTTGTTTATATTTGAGACAAAGGTGACCCCAAAATATGACTGAATTATTACCCCCCAAAATCAGTAGGACACCTTGAATTGTTTGGTGAGTTGAAAGTCTCTGAGAACTTACCTGAACAGTCCTCTCCTGCAGCAGGACTTGGACTTGAGTCAAACTTCTGTGTGCTGCTTGCATCAGAGAGCCTACATCTGTTTTGTATTTACATCTTGAAGCCTTAGGGTTCCCCGTAGAGCTACAGGAACTGTTGATACTTCTATACGTACAAAGTCAAAAGATTTCAGCATGGGTTAACAATCTTTCTGTGTGGTTTTTGGGGGGAATTCTTTTTCGAAATCCCTGGTGGTTTTCTCTTCAGGTTCAGAAATTGTGTACACATTATTTCATTGTATGATTAACAGCCTTAGAAGTGCTGAGATGTACCTTCAAATCCTATGGGTTCCCAGTGGGGCCTTCCTTAAAGGCAGATGTTTGGATTGTGTTGGTTTTGTACTCGGTATTTCTGTCAGTGGCAGCAATCTCACTCCTGGGCTGTTACCAAGCAGATCTTTGTTCTAAGGCAGCTCTGATGGCTTTAGAACGTGTTAGCTATTGTAGGGCAGTGTGATAATGCCATTATAGGGAATGAAGAGTTTCTTGGTTTGTGTTCACCATGGGATGAAGTAAAGAACACCAGAAGTGGCCTGAAGCCATCCATGGTTCCAGATTCTTGCTTCCTTGGAATTTCTCTTCAATTGTCTCTAATTCTGCTTAAAGGATTGTCTGCACCCATGCATGATTTACAAATGCTCTCAATTATGTGGCCATGTACTTTGGGGTTTGGTTTGGTTTTTTGAGAATGCTGTTAACATAAAGGTTGGTGCCTACATGTGTTACATGATGTTTTTCCTTTTAAGAAATGAAAATGAAACGTGGTATCTGTTCTAGATCCGATCCAAGAGAGTTAGATATCCATTCTGTATGGGGTTCCCCCCTTCTTTTCACTTATCGCTCTCTAAGGAGCACTGAAGTCAGTTCGTTTAAAAATGAAGTGGAATTAACTGGTGTTCATTTCACATTGGAGTTTGCCCACACAATGGCTTCTGTGCTGGGGAAGGCCAGGCACTTACAGGAGCCAGACTGAACAAATGCCTTCTCTCAGGATTGTATCTGAACACACCTCTCTCCTTACAGTGTTTCCTGCTCTGCTAAACTTGTGTCAGGTGCTGTGCTGCTTCTCTCTGGATGCACTGCGATGTTGTTGACAAAAAAAAAAAGTGCATATTTGCATAGAAAAATCCTACTGTGCCTTAGAAACTGGGAACTACAGTGGAATTGCCACTTAATATTAAATGTACAGAAAGTGAGTCTGAGCTTTCTGTCTGTGATTCTCCAAGTTCCAATGCTGTATGCACAGGATCGTGCAAAGCTATGAGTTTTTTTGTCTTGATTTCATTTCTAAAGAAGTGTTGGTGTCACACAATGTGTTCTACTCTACAGTGCTACAGACAATTCTTAGCCACTGCTGAGGCGTCTTTACATGGTAACAGTGCTTCCCCTGAGCATGCTGCTCAGGTGTGTTACTGTCTCTCTGTCAGAAGACAAGCCCTGTTCTGACAGCCTATGTCTCTTTGAAGGCTGCATTGGAAAGGCAATTGAGTGACATTCTGACCTCAGTTTTCACAGTCCCCTCTTTCTGTATTCAAAGCCTCCTCACTTTCATATTATCTTCCTGTTGTATTTGGAGCTGCCTCTCTTTAATGTTACCTCCCAGCCAGTTTCATTGCAGATTTCTTCATATAAGCCCAGATTTTGTATCTTCAAACCACTGTAAACTTTGTGCTACAGCAAGAGATCAGACTGATGACGAGCTGCCTTCCTGGGGTATTGAAAAATGCAGCCAGCAATGCAGAGTTACCATACATGAAGTTAAGTTCATAGCATCCCAAAGCAAATAGACGAGTTGCGTTTGGATCTGAATACGCTGTACATCTTTACTGAACTATCTTCATGTTTCCCAGTAGATACAGCTGTCACTATGTACATACACTGTGTGTATGGTCGTGTGCTGAAAATGAGTTTAACAACTCCATTGAGCAGGTATTGTGTAAACCATTGAGAAGACTATATACAAATTATACACAAGCTGAAGATATGTGACTCCCAGCTACTTGACTATAAATTAAAGGATTTCAGATATTCATATGTTCTTTTGTAACTGTACAGGTTGTCTACAAACTGTCAGAATAACATGGGTATATGTACAAGTATATGCAAATAGGGCCAATGCTACTTGTGTGGGTAGGTTGTCAGCAAGGTATGAAATAGAAAATCCAGGTGATTTTGGCCTTTGTGTATGTACATAAATACATCTCTATATATACAGAGACACTAACAAAACCATTCCAAAATTTGGAACATAATCATTTGTAGTAAATCCTTAAGGTAGATGAAAACATCCATTGGTCTTCATGCTCATCACTGTGTGTGCCTTCACGTTCTGTAAGTGATGCTGTGTTGCTGGAGGATATTATATTTAGAAAGTTAAATCTAAAATTTTGTTTCCGCTGGAATCTGTAGGGGAAAAAAAAAAAAGGAAGTAATTGGCACCCTAGAAAGGGATATTCAAGGTAAGGAGTCACTGGTGAGTGGCATGTAAGCTCACTGCTCCAAAGCATTTGTGCATGAGGTGTGCTGTTTGACATCTTTCATACCTTCTCCCCACACAGCTCCAGTCTCCCCTCTGCCTGTGTCATTTGTAGGAATGGGACTAATGATGGATCTCTGCCATATGGGCAGTGCAACAAAGGCTCCATGGAAATCCGTGAAGGAAGCTTTTTTCCTGCAGTCTGCTCCTGCCAGCAGAGCCCTGCACTTCTTACTCATGTAGCTCTTTGCCTCAAGTCAACTCGCACCAATAAATCATCTGGGTGCTTTCTGCCCTGGGCTGACACAGGGGCTCAGCAATGAAGACGTGTTTGGGATCTGACCTTGCAATTCCTGCAAGCAGCTTTTGGTGACCACATTACCTACACACTGGGGGTTGGAGTGGCCCTGGGGGAGGCAGGAGGCTTACCGTGCTCTCCTGACTGCGCAGTCCATTGCTGGTAGTGATGACATAATCATTGCTGCTCCCCTTCTGCAATGGACGCATGAGTTTGGGGTTAGGAAATGGATGCCCTTGGAGCCCCCTCCAAGGGAAACCCACAGCCAACCCATCTCTTGGGAGTTATTCACCCCTTTTTTTTTTTTTTTTTGACTCTCCCAACTCATTAGAGGCAGCTGAATTCTGATCTTTTAACTTTCTGAATATGCACACAGCATAGTGTGTATGGCTGGATATAAAGAGTAATGTTGGTTGCCTATGGGTAAAGGCACTAAAGCAGAAAAAAAATGAAAACTGTAGCATTACCTCAGCAAGCTTTAATTTTGGGGAGCTGGCTATATCCTTCTTCAGCAAAATGTGTAAAACTGCATCATGAATGGTGAGGAAGAACATGGATGGCTTGATCTCCTCATCAAAAAAAGCACATCTCTCCAGCTTCTCCAGGAAGCCCTCTGCAGGGGAACAAAATCCAAGGATAAAGTTTCCAGCAGAGGTCCTGACAGTGATAAAAGAATAACGTATTCTTTGTGTGTCCATAGAGTAAACAGTGTTATCAAATAAGGTTTTGTTGACTAGAACAGTTTTGTTCTAGGCCCAGTTTTGTTGACTAGAACAGATGGGTTTCTCTGTGCCAATGTGGGAAGTGGGATGCCAGCCACATTGGTACTGCCTTACTTGGGGCAATGCAGATTGGAGCTGGAGAGTGCTGGGAGGTGAAGCTGTTGTTACCCAGGATGAGGAGGTGGAGCTGGGGGATCTCCCAACTCTCAGGGAATGGGGAAAGCAGTGGGATGAGGCAGGAAGAATTACTGGGAATGGGGCAGCCATGGAGAGGCTGATGGAAACGCAAGTACTCACCGTTTGCCCCTGCAATGTAAATGTCGATATCGATCCGGACAAACTCTTTCAAAGTCTGTTAAACCGGAAACAGGCATCATTTAGAAACTGATAACTCTGCTGATAACAGCCACTAAGATTAGCCAGAGCAATTTACAATATTGATTGTATATTTAAGAATGGCAAGCAGCTCTAATGTCAAACTTCAGTGCACCTGGAGGAAGAACAGGTTCTCTAATGGCTATGGACAGGAAGAAATGGTCTCTGAAATGGGGCAGTATTAAATGCATTGCACACATGTGAAACAGATGATCTTTCATAAACTGTAGGGCATTATATGAAACTGAGACTCCAAAAGTTTCTGAAGAAACTTTTCTAACTAGGAATTCAAGCAAAACTACTTTCCCCATTGTACTCTGTGAGCATTTAGTTCCCATGGAAATAGATTTGCCCATATAATGTGGATGTAACAGATAGCTAACCTTAACTATTGCTGTTGGGAAATGTCCTGATTGCCTTGCTCAAGGCAGCCCTGGAAAGTGAGAGCAGGAACAGAAATAAAACTATGGTATTCCAGCTCCCAACCCCATGTTTAAAGCCATATTTCATACATGTATTTCCATAAAAGTTTCCCAATGCTCTATGAAGATTAATTGTTTAATCATTTTTTATGGAAAATATAGATCTGAATTCACATAAATTCAAAGGCTGCCACTGACTTTTCTGTCCATGTGGAAATACCTCTATGCAGCACACCACATTTGTGTGTTTTTCTTTTGTGTGATCACTGTCTCATCAGATGGAACTACCTTTTGGAGGACTCTCATAGCAGAAAAATCAAGGAAGGACACTGCTGAGAAGTCCAGCACGATGCTGTGGATGTCGACCCGGGGCACAACGATGCCTGGGGGCAGCTCGGCATCCCAGTTGATCTGAACAGGCAAGTCTGCCATGTCAGTGGGCTGGTCCAGTTCCTCCATCCTGTTGTTGTCTAATTCATCATCCGACTCCTGCGTATTGTGAGCCATGCATATCAAGCCTTTCTGTGACAGCAGAGGCAAGTGGCACAGTTAATGCTTCTTCTGGGTTGGAAGTGCATTGTAAGGAAGAGCAAGGGTGATACAGAATCGTACAATCATTAAGGTTGGAAAAGACCACTAAGATCATCTAGACCAATTATCAACCCATCATCATCATACCAGTAACCCACGTCCCTCAATACCTGTGAGATGGAGCACCTGCACTTTACACTGGAAAAATTGCCTCTCATTTGGATGAGCAAACTGTTGACTTTTCTCTAACCAATCATTTAATCATCATTGGAATCCATTAATGATCGTCTTTTCCAGAAGAATTTAATCTTCCCAGAAGTCAGTGGTTGGACACACTTTGATTCAGTAGTTTTGGAACAAGTCAACAAAAAGCATTTTTTGTCTGTGGGAGTGATTTAAAATCCTATTTTTCAAATTTCAGAATGGCTTGGGTTGGAAGCCCACCCAGCCCCAAACCCTGCCATGGACAGGGACACTTCTCCCCAGATCAGGTCCCAGGGCCCCATCCAACCCAGCCCTGAGTGCCTACAGGGATTGAAGCAACCACAGCTTCTCTGGGCATCTGTGCCAGGGCCTCACTGCCCTCTGAGTAAAGAATTTCTTCCTTATATCCAACCTAAATCTCTTTTAGTTTAAAGCCATGTACTTATGTGCTTGGCCACGAAGTAGCGACTGGCAATGGCATGTCCAGTCAAGACAGGAGACTGTGAGCCCCCCTCTGCACCCTGAGCCAGGGAGCTGGCTGCTTAATTCCTAAGTTCCGCGCCCTTCCTGCCCACCCTTCCCACTTCCACTGCAGTTGCCCTACATACAGGCGTCACTTGTAGCTCTCCTTTCTTCAGCATCTTTCTGATCTTTCTCAGAGCTTTGTTGCGTTTCCTTAGGACTCTGAGTGGGTTGAATCCAACCTGTAGAAGCAGCACTTTGAGTTCTTCAAGTAGAGCCAAATATTCCAAGTACCTTCTCAAGTAATTGCGATGGTGAGGCTAGAAAGCACCCATAATCTCTTGGATAATGATGACACAAGCAAAAAATAAATGAACAAATACTCCTAGCCAAATGAATTATGATGCCTTAAAGGCTCAGACACAGAGTTTGTTTAGGAAAGGTATTGTTTTCTATTCCTGAACTGCCTTGAAACTTCACTACCTTTAAACATTTCAGCAATGCCTTTTTGAGCTGTTTTTCTCCAATATCCTGCTGCCTTTTGTGCAGCCACTCACCAAGGTCTCTCCAGCCTTTCTCTGCTGCTACAGATGGTGCCGAAGAGTTGTTCAGCACCAGTCAGGGTGCTCTCCTTCTCACAGTTGGATACGTACACACAGGACTACAGTCATAAAATGACATTTGAGTAATTCATGAAAAATATATCTTTATAGTAGGGCTCATCTGCATACCTACTAATTATGCAGAAATTGTATTCAGCGTTAATGTGTCGCACAATTCATCTGTTCATAATGACTGCCCCAGTCACTTACAGCAGAGATGAGTTTCTCTTTGAAGAACTCAATATTAGCAAAGAAGATAGGAGATGAGCATTTGAAGATCTTCACTCCCTCTGGCTCATAGATCTGTCATACAAAGCAAAAGTATTGGTCATGACATCTATTAACGAAACATGAATTCAGCAGATGACCAAAGGGAGGAGAGGTTCCTTACATCGGTGTAATCCTTCCTGTTTCTGTAGATGTTGCTCCTCCCAACGTTTGCCAAAGTAGTGCAGCTCGGACTGCAAACAAACACACACATCTATTTGCTCCCTGTGCTGAAACCTGGTGGAAGGGACAGCTGGGGTTGTCCTCAGTTTCCTGCATGGTTCTAGTAGGGTTAATTTAAGACAGGAGGTCCTGCAATGTTGTCATCACATCCAAGCAGTACTCACATCTGGGAGCGGATCACTACAGTCAGCAGTTCGAATGCCACAGCTGTTGCCAGCCCAATGTCCAGGCCTAGGAAAACGGCCACCAAGAAGGTCACCACCCAGATTATCTGCAAAGAGTGCGTGGACATCAGCAGTTACATGAGGGAGTGGGACTCCAGCCACGAGCCAGCATGGGAGCAGCTGCCTATAAGCTGTCTTCTCAGTTCTGGTCCAAGCTGTCCATATGCCTTTTCTTAAAGCAATTTCATCTTTCATAGATTCTTGTAAAACAGGGCCAGACTCATCAATGAGCACCGGGAAGTGCTTCTAGAGATGGCAATTTCTATACAGTACACAAGGATTAATGTCATAGAACTGTGAATCTTCCATAGGTGGCTCATAAAATGCTCAATAAAAAATCCAGCAGAAAGGCAAGTTTACCACGAAATTACTATTCTGGTAAAATTGAGAGTTGTAAATATGCTTTGGACATCAAAACAGACAAAATGAGCTGCTGAGAATGAACTTGATTGATAATCACACATGACTAAATAATACAGAGTATTTTAACTGCAGATCTCAAAGCACACTTTCGCTTAGTGAAAGACTGTTTTGTAGCTGGGAAAACTGAGGCTTGAATCCATTCAGGAACTGAAGGAATTGGCAGATGAGAGAGGCAAGAGACTGCGTCTTCTGAGTGCAAGAGTTAGGAAGCCCTGATTTCCAGACATGAGCTCTTCTGCTGGGAGCAACTCCTTCAAGCCATGGGCTGCTCTTGGGATTTACTAAGTAACTTCCACCTGTCCTACTGCAGGAGTGAAAGAAAGGGGGAAAATGTCCTTGAAGCCAGTGCAGAAGATAGTTAGATGCTTCATGTAACTTCTTTCTATATATGACTTTATACATTGAACTCTATTTTAATATGTTATGATAAAGTGGATGAAAATGAGTGTCTCCAAGAGAGGTGAACAGAGCAAATGGGCTCAGAATAGGTGAGATAAAATTGAAAACATGAGCAAGCGGAGCAAGATTAAAAAGGTGCGTACTATTGTACTTCCCATTTAGAAAAGTAGGGCACGCGTGAAAATAAAGATAACCTTTAAACGTGTTTGCATAATGAGTGACTTTTTGACAGATCTTCATTCCTGAGTGCTTGAGAGACTCAACTTACACAGTCATATTTGTCCTTCCTCCACAGGACGCCTACTTCTCTGAACTGCATGAGCATTCCCTTCAAGTTGCCAAGAGCCAAGGATGCAAGGACTGACTGTTGAGAATAGGAAGACATGTACTCAATTTTGAAGCAAACAAAGCATACATTGAATGTTAAGTCTTAAGACATCATGCAATCAGAGCCAAAGTGCAGCTGGAAGGCCAGGCAACTGCCAGTGAGCAAACCCACTCAACTCTGGCACCTAAAAGCTGGTGCTAAAATGTTTGGTGTAGGGCACCCACCTTCCATATGACCCACGTAGTGGGGTCATAATCTTGGAGAAAGAACCTAGTTTTGCAAAAATTCTATTTGTCTCCAACTGAAGTTCAGCAACACTCCAAGTGAGTCCTCCAGCTGGAGGAAGCACAGGGTAAAGCCAGCGAATACCTTTTGTAATGGTGCCAGAAGAAACCCAATGGCCAAGATGACAATCAGGACGATGATAGCAGAGATAATACCAGCAATCTGCATGAAAGAACAATTCCACCATGAATAAGTGCCTGAAGGCATTAGAGTCAGCAAGGAAGAAAGAGACCTTCCTTGTATTAAGTTACACCAGGGTCTGTTGTCTTCTATACCTGCGTTTTGCCTCCTGTGCTCTCCTGTACACCTGATCTTGACAAAGCTGTACTGGAGGCAAACCCTTTGAACGATCCACCTAATATATTACCCAGTCCAAAGGCAATTAGTTCCTGGAGTAAAAACAAAAAAGGCTGTTCTTAAAAGCAGTCCTGAAGGAATGCATTCAAGACAATGCATTCCTAAAATGACTTCTTTCCCATTAGCAAATGCACAGTGCTGTGTCTTTCCTCTACCTGGTTGCCATCTATTGGATAGTCGTGTTTGATGGAATACACTTTAGCCACAGAGAAGGCTACTGCAAATCCAACAATTGCAATGGAGATGCCATCACCAACACACTTTTGAATAATGCCTGCATCAGGTGCAACAGGAGCTTGGAATCTGAAAGACAAAGATCTCTGCTCTTAAAGGACATGTGTAAGGAGATGACCTGCCAAGCAGGTGAGAAAGGCAGCAGTCCTGCTTACTCAGTTTAACTGCTTTGGTCTGACGTGTGATTGCAAATCTGAACCTGTAACACTTTGGGGAATCCTTGATCAGGATGGGGACTCTCTATCTGCACTCATCTCAGCTTATATCTCAGTGGTTCCCATTTAGTTGGCCAGGATCAGCCACAGCTTATCTTGTCTAAAGAGCACACATGGTTCTGCCTTCCCATTATGCATAGATTTTAAAAATCTCTGTAATTCACTGAAGCATTTTAGGCAGCTAAACAAATGCGTACTGAGCCACGTTAGCCTCAGGCTATCTTCTATGTCCTTTATCTTTGCCATGTCCTTCTTCTTGGCTCAGGGGCTTTTGCAGATCCTGGGGAGAATTTCTCAGGTTTGTTTGTTTGTTTTTGTTTCCAATGAACTGAAATCTGGAGAACAGAGAGTTTTGAGCAGGAATAGTTGTTTCTCTGCAAACTTCATCCACTAATACACAGGGGCTACAGGTGCAGAGTGCCCAGGTGAGTAAATGATTGCCCTCTTACCTCTCTACTTCAATGTGTGCTTATAAAGTCTTCATGCCAAGCTTCTGGTATGCCTGGATATATTCAGTATAATGGTTATACTATACATTTAGATAAATACTCCATATGTACAGTTGTGGAATCACTAAGGTTGGAAAAGACCACCTAGTCCAGCTGTCATAGAGGAGTGGACATGGGGGCCTCGTGAGGATAAGAAGGTGAAGTAGGCAATTTTGGTCAATAAACTGAACCAACTTAGCACTGACAAACAGGAGAGAACATTTTGCTACACAGGCAAACTGTAAGCAAACCACTTACCCTTCTTCTAGTTTTCCCACAACAGCTACTTTAAATTTTTCTTCCAATTTAGCAAAATGGGAAATCAGCGCTGCTAAGACGGTCTGAAAGATTTAAAAAAACCACCTCCATTAGGAACATTCGAGTAAGTGGATGGAGAAACCACAAAGAAACATTTCCTCCCCTCTCCCACCTACACCCCGGCATCATCACCGGTGGCAGTACAGTGCCCCAGCTCTATGCATTCATGATGTGTTCAGATGACTGAACCACTTTGTAGGATGGTTTCATGCTCATAAATCCCATGGAGAGTACCTCAGAACATCCTTCTGGCAGCAGAGAATAGCAGTGGGCTGTGAGGCTGCCCCATTGAGGTCCCCACCCGCTGCAGCTCAGGGCAGCCTGGAGCACAGTGCCAACCTCATAAAGCACTGCTTCCCACAGAGTGATGGAGCAGTCATGGAATCAGAGGAGAGGTCATTACCACAATGAGCTCGATGGGGATAGGGGTGGGTAGCTTTGCTTTGTAGCGATCATTTATCTCTTTCACCACAAACACAATGAACAAGACGAGAAGGGAGGTGACAAGGTCGGCGATGTTGGTGTCGGTGATCTGGCTGAACACGCTCTCCAGAGTCTGCAACATCAGTAAGAAACATGGTGCTGTTCAACTAACTGATCTGGCTGTAGGTATCCCTGTTCATTTGAGTGGAGTTGGACTAGATGGCTGTTAAATGTCCCTTCCAACTTTTATGATTTTAATGATAATTTTATGATTTTATGATGATTTTATGATTCTAAAATGCTACCTAACTATCCCAGCAACATGATATCTGGTGAGAAATGTGAAGATCTGCTATATATTAATAGCCATCTCATATATTTCTCTTGGGTTTCTCCTCCTTGGCTGCTGCTATGCCCAGCATGGTTAATGCAGACAGGTTTTCAGAGCAGTAGCAAATGCTGAAGAGTTTGCACTTACATAGATGATGCCAAATGGTTTATTAAATCCAGGGACAGGCAGCTGAAGCATGAACTTGAGCTGGGACACCAGAACATGGATGGCTGCAGCAGTTGTGAAGCCACTGATTAACGAGTGCGATAAGTAAATGACTATGAATCCAAACTGGAGAAGTCCCAGAAGCAACTGAAATGCAAATGACCACACTTCAGTGGGATTCACTCATGCTTTTAACCAATCTCTGCAATAAAAGGACCCATATTTAACAATAACATCTTCACCTAATCCCATACACCAGGGATTAAGGAAAATTATGTCATTGGAAACAACAATGAGTTTTAGAAACAGGGGACATATGACTGATAAAGGTAAAGGTTACAGCAGTTAGAACCTATTCTCTTTATTTCAAAACTAAGATACACCTTCTTTAGTCTTAGGTTTTCTGTAGTCATATTTTTACATTATGCCAGTGCTTCATGAACTATAAAAATTAGGAAGGGATTTTAGGAATTACGTATTAGGAAGAAAGAAGGAACTGCTTCATTTTTTTCTGATAAGACAAGTCAAAATCCTTCGTTCTTACGACATTATTTTAAGGCCAGTCACCATCCAGCTATTCTTATCAGTGAATGTACATATGCAGGTACACACACATATATTGGGCAGTATGTATAATGGGTGATCCTGTGTGGAGCCAGGAGTTGGACTTGGTGATCCTTACGGATCCCTTTCAACCTGGGATATTCTATGATTCCATTTAATTACCAACCTGAAAAATCCCGGATAGAAAGGTGACAGATGCAGCTACCATCACCCTCTGTTCATCTATAGCTGACGTGTTGGTGGCAGTGCCATTTCCAGCAGCATCATCGGGGACCAGCCTGGTGACAACGCCTCCCACCATCAGGCTCAGGACGGGGAAGGGACCTGCACACAGGGCATCATCAGACCCACAGGGGAAAACTGCACTTGGGCATTTGTGATGAGGGTGATCAGAGTGCCTGCACTTACCCACTGAGATATGTCTGGATGTACCAAAGATAAAATAGACCAGGACTGGGAAAAACACTGCATAGAGTCCATAACCAGGAGGGACATTCACCAGCAAAGCAAATGCGAGACCTACAGGGGCAGAGACAGCAGGACGGCAAGGTGTGTGAGGGGATGGACCAGCAGCCTCCCTCCTGGGCCATGGGCCGTGTCAAAGCAGAGCTACTGGAGCTACCTTGTAGCACTGCCACCAAACCCGTGTTGATGCCAGAGACGATGTCGCTCAGGATCCACTCCCTGAAGCGGTATGCGGGCAGCCACGAGACGACAGGAAACATACGCAGGGCAACCCTTTTGATCCTTTGTGGGGAACAACTGTAAAGACACAAGAGGATACAGCTCTGCCAGCGGAATGTCTCCGTTGGGTCTCGGCATGTCAGGACACGCTCCCTGTATTCGTAGAATCATGGCTTAGGTTGGAAGGGACCTTGAAGATTGCTGAGTCCAACCCTCTGTCACGGGCAGGGTATTCAGAGGGAAAATGAGGGGGTAGGATTGAAGTCAGCTGCCGGAGACCAGACACAATCCTGAGCAACCTGTGATGCTAGCTGGGCTTGTAATGGGATGTGGTGACCTACAGGGTCCCTCCAGCCCCACTGGGGTGAGGCTGTGCTCCAGGTGCCCACGAGAAGACAAGCTGCCTGGGATACAACCGCAGGAAGACTTAAAGCCAACAGCAGCTGAAATTCTTTTGGAAAACTGTCACGGATTTGACCAGATCAATCTATGTCCGTGACAGGGGCGACAGGCCTCTGCCCTCCCCCACCACCCCAGTCCCACAAAAATGGGAAGGAAGGAAGGGAGGAAAAGAGCAGCGGCAACAATCTATGGAGGAAAACTTATTTTACTATAATATTGGAATACAAGATAACACAATATATACAATTTAATTGAAATTGAGATTAATAAATCAGACAAGATGAGAGAGAGAGTTCCCGGGACCGAGTCAAACCTGAAAAGCTTGGAACGGCTAGGAAAGCACCCTCCAGCACCCACTGCAAGGCAGCAAGAGAGCGCCCCCCCCACCTGGAAGGGCCAGATCCCGTGACTGCTGTAATGTACAGGGATAGGTACTTGGGATTGGGGCAGTGACACTTTAATGCCCCGTACACTGCATGATGTTTTGATGTGGAATACTGAAACCCAAAAACAAAAAAACAAAAACAAAAACAAAAACATAGAACCATGACATTCCACCCCTTATTCTACATCATTACATCATGCTTAAAACAAACAACAAAAAAAGAACACTGAAATTCTCTAGAAAAATGAGTTTTCATTGGCTTTGTGGCATCTGAGATGAACGTTGTCAGAATGCATGCTATCTGCTACGTGCATTCCAGGTTGTTTCTTAGATCCTTGTTAGGGATCTTCTTACCGAAAATATAGTTTCAAGTGATCCCAGAAGTTTTTATGGTATCTGTGCAATTTCTCATGCTCTTCATCAAATGAATTCTCTGAGTACACTCGTCTTGCAACAACATAGTGGTTGCCTACAGGTTCAACCATTTCTCTTCAAAGAATGAGGAAGGCAACTGCTGTGTGCTACTCTTTGTTGCTGGTCAATTAAAAACCTGGAAAAAAAGCACAAGATTAGCTCTGTGTGTACTAGGAGGTGAGTAGCCATGGCATGGATGACTGAACTCCTAACTGAGTGTTCCCACGTTTGAAGATCAAAAAACAGATGGCTGATAGACACCTGCTTCATTTTGCCAAGATGACCTCTTGTCCCTCTCCTCCCACTGCTGAGCAGTGTTCCACTGGAGCATGAAGCATTTCTTTCTGAAGATGCAGCCAACAAGCGGGCTGGATGGATTTTGAGATTATTTATCCATGAGTCAGATGTCTGCCACCGATGACTCTCACTCAAGAGGACTGATTTCTTAAGGAACAAACAAGCAAATGCTCAATGGTTTCACTTTGAGGTATGGGGAGAAGCAATGAGCACAGCCAGGAAGGCTGCAAGCTGGAAGCCTTCAAAAACCAAGGGGAAAACACAGAGCCTGGACATGGCTGAGCCATATTCTCCTGCACTCCGAGTTAGGGCTTGGACCACGAGGAACTCAGTAGTAAAAATCATGGTATTGTTGCACTTGCAGTTCTCTTAAGTTTTGTTTCCATAGGTAGACTGGACTGCTTCTCCTCTGTTGACCCTGGGCACCCTGCTCTGGGTGTCCCAACTGGGGCAGGGGTTGGGCCAGAGGGATCCAGAGGGCCCTGCCAGACTCTGTGCAGGTGCCTTCACAGCACCCTGTGCTTCTGCTTCATGCTCATAAACAGCTGTTGCAGTGTCATACCTAACTATTACCTTCTGCCTTGTTCCAGCTCACTTCAGTGTGTTTGTGCTCCAGGAAGGACTTCTGACTACTGCGTTGCACATGCAGAGATGGGAGGCCGGTTGCAGTTGGTACCGCTGGATTTTTCAGCAATTAGTTGATTCTGTCACTGTGCTCTCCACAGTGCTCAGTTATATTTCCTTCAGTGCCTCATGTTTTTCTCATGTTAAAGTTACCTGAAAATATTTATCTCCACTGTAGTCGCCATGAGATATTTAATGCAGTACCAGTCCTAGTCAGGAACAACATGACTTGCTCTTGACCATCTCATGACACTGACAACAGAGCATTTCTGTTTTCTCTCCCCTATCACAAATGCTTCATCTTGCCTTGCTGCTTGCTGGTAGCCTCAAATGGGGCACCCTTTCCTCACCCAGATGTGGCGACTAAATTGTGCTGACACAGCCCATGTGCACGTCTAACTTCTGCTTCTGTGGACCCAATGTTTGGAACACACATCCAAATAGCACAAGGTGGTGTGAGTTGCTATGAACAGGTGGAAAACTTTTTATCTGTGACGGTTCTTGCATTAAAATGTGAATCCCACCCTGAAGCTCACTGCTTTGCTTGAGCTCAGGGCCTGTCACTGTCCTACCTCAGGAAAATTCAGTTTTGGTTTTCTCTTAGTTTATTCTGGGGAAATTTGTGAATATTAAGAAGCCCAAATAATGTCTTATACGTCCTGCTTTTTGTGGATATTCCAAAAAGATTCCATATTTAAGCAATGAGTTTAACATGTTTACCATCTGATCCTGCCTTTTAAAACTGGCCAGAGAAATCACATCCTGATCCTGTAGCTGTGTACTATCAACCTTCCCTCTGCTTGGTGCCAAAACCGGAGGCAGATGACACTGAAATGCAAAACTTGCTTCATTTTGTTCTTCCTCTGGTAAGCCTCGATGTACGTAGGTTTTCAGGAAGAAGTTTCATCAGTCAAAGACTGTAGAACTGCTCTGTTTCCCAGGCTGTGTACCAGTCCTTTAGACCTCACATCACTGAGAGGAACTTGCAGAGCAGTTTTGTTCATTACATTGTAGGGTATAAGATGTACTATTTGTACTCTTTGAAATGTTTATAAGCCATAAAAATAAAAGAAATGTGTGAGTTACTCTTTCATTTCAGATTTTGCCCAGTTCAGCAGCTGCTTTAACTTTCATGAATGCTTTGGTTGTCACCCTGCCCTTTGCCCAGCCTTGATTCCTTCCTCACACCAAATCTTTTGCCCCAAATATCCTTTGTTTTATCAATACTTGTTCTGTTGAAAGTGTAAGTATTTTGTATGTCTTTTTTTCTCTCCTGATAGAGACCCTAGTTCAGTGACCCTCCTGCTGCCTAGCTTTGGGTGGTTGGCTGAGCCCTGCAAAAGGATTCCTGGATCATTGCCTGGAGGGTCTCATCAGAAGGATTTGGACATGGGTCTGCCTTGGAGATTGTGATGCCATTTGGTATTCTCCACATTGAATTCAGCAAGCCAGAGAGTACCCAAAGTAGGCTGGGCAGTGCCTTCCACCTGTTTGTAGGCAGGACAGGTGAGACCTCGGGCAGCCACCCTGCTGTGGCTCTGTGATCAGTGCTGCTGGCTGCCTTCCAGATGTTCTCATCTTCTTCCATTTTTCCTTGGGCTGCCAAAGCTATCAGCTGCCGTAACTTCAGTCTGTATTGCTTTCCTCTTGCTCACTCTCATTTTCTTCACAACTACATTCAGAAAGATATTGCCCTTCATAAGGGGAGTGTTATGGCTGTCTTTACCATTATTTGAGATGTTTTTGAGATATCACAGATACTGCGGCAAGCAGCAGTGTAGTGAAGGATCCCATTCTCTGCAAATCCCCTAAAGGAGAGGTGTGTGCTGCCTTTCTGGAGTGTTCTCATCATTACGCCCTTGGACTTGTTTGGGAGATGCCCATCAGTGCAGTTCTGATGACTTGTGTAGAGTGCCCATCCACCCACAGGGAGAAGGGACACACACCAATCTCACACTGCACAGCTATCAGACTAACAACTTGCACTCCCTTCTGACCGAGACTAGATCTGAATGCAAACCCAAAAGTAAGGTTTTAGTTCAGCTGTATTCCATACAGCCTCCGATCCCACGCTCACTGCTGGTGTTACCATTTCTCACACTAAGAAGTCCAGCTCCCCTGCTGAACTCCTGCATTTGTGAACCATTGGAAACGCGTGTTCCGATGTCATATTGCTGAGACATGCTTTCTCCCTTTTACCGATTTATCCTAAGTATTGACTAAGTAGCACTCAAAAATCTGATAACTTCAACAGAATAATTAAATATTAACAGTTTTTCCCCACTTTTCAGTCTGCGTATACACACTTATAACTTCTATTTCTCCACAATATAAACATTTGAAAAATACAAACAAATTCCACAAGGGAATCTCTCACATTTTACAAAAAATACACAATATATCTAGAAGCATTTTGTTTACAAACATTACTTCACATATCCCATATCCTGATTGGCAAGCCAAAATCTTACCTGATGTGTTCACTATGAAGCTCTTCAGAAGAAACCACACAGTGTACAGAAAATGATATCCTTGAATTGTTCAGAGGCAGCCCAGGTATCTTGTGCTGCTCTTCATTTCAGAGCCTCCCTAAATACCAGCAGCACTTTAATAACTAACTTCGGTTAACTTTTACAAGAAAAGTAAGATTTCACTGTGGCCTTGACCATTGAGTCTACTCTCAGGAGGGATGATAAGAGTCATTTCTTAAAGTTCTCTGGGATATTGCTTAACTTTGTTTGGAGAACTGCTTCTGATTGGACTGCAGAGATTAATGTAGGAAAATAGAGATGAGTAAGAAGGAGTCTGTTGCAATCCTCTGCTGTGCATCTGCCAGGGTTCTGTTGGGCATAGTGGGAGGTGCTGACCAGAGCCTAGATATCGGAGCCCCTTCATTTCTGGAAGACCATAACCTGTGGTATGGGAGTGGGGCTGCTGGGTGGCAGCTCTGGCCAATGTATGCCCCTGTGAGCTCTCCTCCCAGGTATCTTGAAGGGATTCAGCACTGTCTTTCCAGGAACAATTGTGGAATATTCAGATCATTTTCCAGAATAGCCTTGGCAGGGATTTCCAGGGGACAGCTGTGAGTGCTGGATCCGGTGGCTGTGGCATCCTCTGACGTGAGCACGTGTAGGAGGGCTGGGCTGGGCTGGGCTGGGCTGGACTGCTTCTCCCCTTTCACTGCCTACGGAGGAACTGAGGCCCCTGAGGCCAAGAAAGCACTTTGCAAGCATTTGCAAGCACTCCTCTAAGATACCTAAAACCTCTTAAGGAGACAGAGGGCTAGAATAACATCCTGATGCCTCAGCGTGCAACTCCAGCAGCAGGTGCCTGAGTTCAGGACATCAGCAAACCCTGATGCTGATGTCTGTGCTGATGTGCTGAGCATACCTTAGCATCAAAGTTTCTTGGTGAAAACTGTCCTCAGGTCATGCCACCACAAACTCTTCACTGATACCTAGAGTACAGAGACAGCCATATGGTTCTCATCTCCTTAAAGCACTCCTCTGGTCTGAAGACCAGAGCCTGTCCTAGCTTTGAAAGCACAGATTTCATCTCTTAGTGAAGGGGATGGTGAGCAGGGCACCCCGTGTGCTCCCAGCGGATGGCCAGACACACAGAGAGCAGGAGGAGGAGCCTGAGGTGCTGCTCTAGGGGGGTTTGTACACATTTCAGTCAATGATTAAACTAAGAAATGACGAAGCGAGTAGAACCTCAGCACATGTCACTGCAAGGTGCAGTGTCTATCTGCCCATGACTCAAGGCTTCTTTCCTGCACTCTAGCCCATGGCTCTGGGTTTATGAAGGATCTTTGAGGCTCCCAGCTTCTTCTGAAAGTTTTGTGCTGCATTTTCAGCCAAGCCCATAAGCTTTTCCTGTTAGTAGAAATCCCAGGTCATTTCCTGGAAAGCAGACTTCCTTCTCTGTGACAGCACACCTCTGCTCTTAATAACTGCCATCATGGTTTAAGGTATTTGCTGCACTTTGTAAAGCTGACACAGAGATGACATTTACCATTAAAACCACAAACATTTGAAAAAGTGTACAACAGCTCAAACCATAAAATAATTAAACAGCTTTTAGCCTCTCTCCTTGCCAAAGTGCAGGTACACTGTGGTCACAGAAGTGCTTTAAACCGAGTTCGAAATCT